TTTGTCTACACGCGCTCCGGGCACTCTTGATTATTATTTCAACATCCGCCCGCAAGACATGGTGAATTTATATTTATTTTGCCGGCGGCCCATTGATGAATTTCATTTTCCACGCCTGACCCCTGACCTACTCTTGTGCGGTGAACTACGATAATACATCCTGTAGACAGCTCAGCTGGGATTATTGATATGCAGAAAATTAATTAATGAGAGGGGAATATTTCATAGTATATATAAAAATCTGGGAAAGATTTTTTTACAAATTTGATGTAACTGATATGATTATATTGAACACAATTTGCAACTATATTAAATATAAACTCAAACACTATGATTAATTATTCTATTTACACAGTTTCACTTCTATAAATGTACTTCAGGAGCAGTTCAGGAGTAATATTTTATTAAATAAGCATTCAATGCCTTGATTTATCTATTCACTTTACTTGCTTTATTTATTTTAATAATTAAAAATTAAATTTATTTATAAATTTTATTTATAAAATAAAATTAAGTAAATATAGCTTTGGATAAAAGATTAATTTAATAAAATAAAATAAATGCACAACATTATATTTTAATGACATGTTTTCAAATCATTATATAGTACTTAATAGATCTGCTGCATCAAAATGTTACTGAATTAAATAAAAATAAAGAAATTGAATTTACATTATGAGAAAAATTATTATATGAATCTATCTGCTAAATGGATCTTTAATTTTTACAATCTGCTTCTAATTTAACGTGATTGTATTTATTCTTGATTCAAAAATGATCGCTAAATAAATGTGTTCAAACGTGGAGCACGAAATTTGATAATATTAGTTTTGAAAATTAAAAAAAAAAATTACTCGTATAAAAAATTTTCTAAATACCAGATCATAATTTGCTTTTTATGCAACCTTTATTTCAAGTTTTAGAGGCAACCAAAGGATTTATGAATAATTTGCAAGTTAAAATCTGCATCATTAATGTAAATGTTTGACTTGTTGATCAACTGAGTGCTAGAAAAGGCTTCCAATTTTTTTCCTTTTCGCTATTTGGAAACGCATTGAAAATCGCCTGCTTTTGAATATAAAAATAGTCCTGCCTCATTCCTCAATACAAACACGGCGGCTCAGTGCGCTTTCCGCACAAACTCTCTTTCCATTCAAATGGCACTGGCTGTGATTAATGGCTCCGACTACAATGCAGAGGACGACATGTGCGGCACTAATTCTGAAACCTGCTGTTAGGTTTTCATCCCCATCACAGCGGCGCACACATAATACATATCGCCAGACCCACCCCTTTATGCATTGCAATGAATCTGAATTATCGCCAGAATTATTAATGTCTCGCGCGCGTTTCTCGCCCCCGCATTATTATTATTATTATTATATTTTCTCTCTTATTCCAAAAACTTTGAGGCATAAAAAAAAACTTGTGCAGAAGTTTGGTAAATATTTGACTCGCGTACACGTTTCTTTTTCCGCGAGCGCGCGGTGGGCGTGCGGTAAATTTTATTAAAATTTAGGTCTGAAAGGGAAGCGGGCGGCCTGTTGGCGGTGGTGCGCGCAGATAAAAATGAAATATTATCTTTGTTGCTGTGTATACCATACACACAGGGCGGAGAGCTGGCCTGGCATGGCAAAAAGAGAATAAAACAGAGAGAGCCATAAAAGCTGCAGCGGAATTTATTATTCCCTCTTTGCTGAAACGCGCTCGCGAATAATTCACGCTTTTGTGTGTTCCCCGTTCTAGAAAAATATAGCGCCATGTCAACCTAATCGCAATTAATGTGAACTCTAATAATTTACGCAAATTGATGCTGCTCACCGTTTCAATGTCATTGTACAAATTTTAAAATTTTATTCAATATTAAACATTATTTACAAAAAAAAAAGAAAACTATAAAAATGTGCATTTTGTGACTTATTTGCATATAAATTTTTGTTTTGACAATAAAAACTTATTAAATCTTAAATAATTTCATTCAATTTTTATAACTTGTGAAAATTGCAAGTATAAATTTTTTTGCCTTTTTTAATCGTTTGGACTAAACTTTTTTAGGGTGTGTTTCTAAGATACACTGTAATTTATTAAATTATAATATTATTTTTCTCTTTTTTTCTCTACGCGCATAAAAAAACCATCGTTCACTTTTTTGTGTGTGTTTAGTGCGCCGATGATGTATTATTATGTGCATAGTAAAAGCGCAGGCAAAAAGGAAGCAAACACATTGGCGAGGGTGTGTTGTGTCAATTCCGTCCGCCGAACCACCCCGCGCTCATCCACGGGGTGGTTGGTGGTGCTGTCGTCCCCGAAGTTAATCCATCATGCCGCGCGTAACCCCCCCGGCCTCCCGCTCCTCCCAGTCTCCAGGGGATGCGGAGGCAGGGACAGGGGCGCAGGCGCCGGCCGGCGCTTCAACCCCCGCCCGATTTTTCACCCTCGCAGAGCTTCAAGGAAGCGAAAGATCTTTTTTCGTGGACGTGGGCTGCGGGAAATTTTAAAAGAAAAAATACAGCTGACCTGCTGCTAAATCTTTCGAGATCATCAAACTTTTAATAAAAATAAGGGATGTTTTTATAATTAAAAATTAAAAAAATGAGATTTTTTTTCTCAAAATCATTCCAATTATTTGTAGCTATTATTTTTATTTTAGAATAATGACGATGACATATAATTTGATTTCGCTTGGAGCTATTTATTTCTGCAGTTTTTTTAATTGTGTTTCTCTTTTAAATCATTTTAAATGTACAAAATGCTGGAGTTCCAAAATTATAAATTTAAATTTTATAAATAAAGAGAATTAAAGTAACAGACACAGAAGTTACGGATTTAATTTGAATTAAGGAGATAGAATTGTGTAAATTTAGTTTACATTTTTTTTTAAATAAAGTTTACGAATGTATTGAGGAATCATTCGCTTTTTTAATGCGCCAATAAAGTGCAGTTTTTATTATTTATTCTAGTATTTGTTTTTCATCTGACCAGATTGTGCTCAAAATAAAATTATATGCAGCCCTCTAGCTCTGCTATACAAAAAGCGACCGCTGGAAATAATTCAATAAACGCGCCTCCTGGGGAATAATTGACTCTTGCTGCGCGAGTTTGTAAATGTGTTGAATCAACTCGGCTCGGCCGCGCGCGCCGCGAGAGCCTTATCCATATAACTCAGCGCATAACTCAATTAGCACCTCCCGCCCGCACCCCCTCGACGATAAATTTTTACGCCCCCGTTTTTCGCGTTGGTTGCGCGAGAAATTAAATTTCAGCTCCTCCGAGTTTCACATTTGAGAGACGCGTAATTAATTAATGATTCATTCAATGAGCGTTATATTTAATGAGAAGGCGCGATATGCCTGGGAAATATTATATGTTTATTTTGGCGGCAGGGAGAGAAGAGCCTTTGAGAAATTTGATAAGTTGAGAAAATTTCACTATCAAAGAACTTGATTTTCCTCCTAAATAAATTTCAACTGATGTCTTTTATTAATGCTCGATTTTGCAAGAAATTCAGTTTGCTAATTAATTAATCATTGCGGTTAATTTAAATCAGATTTTCGCTTATTTAAAGATAAATTGTGTTTTGGAGGCGTATGATGAATACTTGCATTAGTCTACAAAATTTGAAGTTAATATAATGCTGCACCTATCAACATTTTAACTGTGAAAAATAAAATGATTTAAAAAAAAACTGTATAAAACTTTCCTAGCCAGAAGTGAATAGCAATTTTTCGAAGGGCGCATTGCCTTTGAATTATATTTGTCTGTTACTTTTTCACTAGCTTAAGAGCGGATCTTTTTATAATTTCATTATTATTTTGTTTATTATTGTATGCAAATTTAAATATCTTAATTGAAGTTTATTGATCTTGTTTACATATTCATCTTAAATGAATTTTAAAGATATAAATTTTAACTTTTATTTGTTTCAGTTGAGACAAAATTAATCCACATAATTATCTTTATTCTTAATAATTCAATACAACGTTGTGGCCAAGCAATGGCTCTTTATGCAACCAGCTAACCAAGAGAGTCGTGCAAGTTGCATAGTTGTTTAAATATTGACCTTAACTTATATTTATTTTTTACCGCTGCTTCACAGATGTGTTTACGTAATGTTGAAAATAAACTTTTTTAATTAAAGGAAAGAATAACTGAAATTGTTGTGCTACTTTCCAGAAGCATTGAAATTCAAAACTTTTCTCCGCTGATACAACCAACTTTTCGAAAGATCCATAGCATGCAAATCCCCCGTTTTTCCTCTCGGAGAAGAAAAACTTTTGCAGCAAGCTCGAACCACTGTAATCTAATTTAAGAAAGTTTGAAGCACATCGAGCCTCTCGAAAGAAGAAGAAGAAGAAGAAGCGGACTGCCACGAAGACAGCCGGAGGAAATAATAAACGGGCAAACATTTGCCTGCGAGTCAAGAGAGAGGCTCCGTTCGGATGCAAGGCTCTCTCTCTCTCGTCGCTATTTCCTTGCCTTCATCAGTTTTTCTTCTCTCTCATTGGGTTGAGCAGAGATGAAGCAAAAGGAGACGGCACACGCGAATATATTGCAGGGAAAAGATGTTGATGGCGCCCCAGGTCCTCAGATTAATTCGGGGTGAGGGGGGAGCAGCGCCGTCGCCATGGAAACCGCCCTCGATGGCTTCCTCTCTCTGTACACCAGAATTAAAAACCAAAATAATGCTATAAAATGTAAACGCTGCGTATGAACGACATCGGCAGAATTTCATTTTCCGCCCTCGCTGGTTCGAATTTCATATTTTGCAAAATAAATATAAAGAGCACTTCACAGGGTGCAACCTCTGCATCCAATGTAATGCGATCTTTCGTCATTCAGTAGAAAATTTTGATCAGAAATGACATTTTTGCGAGAGAGATAACGAAAATTGCGGTGAATACGAATGCTAAAAATATTGATAACGGCGTCGGGCAAACACTGATGTTTTGTGGGAGGGACGGCGGTGGGGACTGATGGATTTGTCTGACGCGACGACACCACTTTCTCAACCAGTTAGTTGGCCTGGGTGGCACACCGGTCATCGATTCTCTTATTAATTCGTCAACAAAAGCTTATGGAATAATGGACGTGGAGAGTTTTCGTGAATTCGGCAAAGCGGCCGTTGATTATCTAGCGGACTATCTGGAGAATATCAGAGATCGGTGAGTGGAGAAAAAAAGCTTTAAACGTTTCAAATGGTTTGGAAAATAATAATAAGTGGATTATGAGTTTTTAAATTATTTTAGGAATTTATTAAAAAAAAAAAACATTATTAAAATTATTTCTAATATGTACTTTTGAAAAAAAAAATCAGAATTAAATTTTATGAAGAAGAGTTAATCCGTACAATACTTTGTAATAATTTTAAAAAGTTATTTTTTATATATTTTGTAATTTAATTTTATTTTCATTTTGAAGTAATAAAATAATTTTCACGCTTTTTTATATTTCTCAAATTTTATGTTTACATGGAAAATATTAATCTTGTAAGATAAACTTTGACCAGATAAATATCTTTTTAAATTTTGGGAATAAAGTTTTTTAAATCACTGTAATTTAGCCAAGTTTTGCCAAATGTGGAGCCGGGTTATATGCGCAAATTGCTCCCTGAAGAGGCGCCCGAGGAGCCCGAGCGCTGGCAAGATGTGCTAAAGGATATGGACAGAGCAATCATGCCTGGGGTGAGTAAACAATCGCTTCTGCTAATGGATTGGTTAACACCTATCCATCTTACAAGCCTAAATGCGGTGCACCGCAAACATATTCTCGCAACTCATCTCATGCAAAGATAGCGGAGCTTGAAAAACATATAACTTTTTTATCAGCTAATTAATCAAAGCTTCATCTGATATATGATGCTTTTTTTATTAAAACACCTTGACATTCAGTTCTTATCACTCGCAAGGAAAATATCAGATATAAAAGTTAAAAATTTGTATTTGTTTTTTGTAACATCAATGATTTTTAAACAATTTTCTTATTAAAAAAGTAATAATAAATAAATTGTGGTGTCTTTTAAATATGAGCAATTTTTGTTTAAATAGTTGTTTTTCAATAAATAAAAATAAACTCACAGAATTGACTGAATTTCAGCTAACACATTGGCATTCGCCACACTTCCACGCTTTTTACCCAACCGCCAACAGCTACCCTGGTATCGTTGGCGAGCTCCTGAGTGCTGGTCTAGGTACGATCGGCTTCACCTGGGTAATTAGTAATTAAAATTATAATTGATTTCTATTTTTTTTTTAATGTAAAGCAAATCTTCATAAGATTTGAATCCACTTGATGCTGGAGATAAGAGAATTATTGCAGAATAAACAAATAAAAATCAGCCTTTTTGCCCTTTGATGGTTGATTTTTTTGCATCATGCACGATGATATATCAATGAATTTAAAATTTGGTTATCAATCCTTATCTAGATGTCCTCGCCGGCGAGCACCGAACTTGAGGTCATCACCCTTGACTGGTTGGGCAAGATGGTCGGACTGCCTCCAGAGTTTCTTTCGTGCTCTCCTGGCCACGGCGGTGGTGTTATCCAGGTTAATTAATAAAATGATTTAACAAAAATTAATAAAAAACAATTTCGTGGCTTATTCCAAGTAGTACATTATAAATTTGTACAAAAATTTTGTCCTTTTCTATATTTGTGCTTTAATTTGCCTCCAGGGTTCGGCAAGTGAAGCAACTTTGTTGTGTTTGTTGGTGGCGCGCGAGAGATATGTGCAGCGCCTGCAAGAGAAAAACCCAAATCTCTCCGAGGAAGCGTTGAGAATGACCAAGGCCAAGCTAATCGCGTACACATCGAGTAAATTCATATTAAAATTAATTCATTTTTATTTTTACGTGACTCGTACACATGAAAACAAAATTCATCACCTTCAAAAAAATTTCCATTGCTATAAAATTGTTGTTGTTATTTTTATAGACCAATCTAACAGTTCGGTGGAAAAGGCTGGAATTTTGGGCGCTGTCCCGATGCGTCTGGTTCCGTGCGACGAAAAGTTCCAAATGAAAGGTCAAGCTCTCAGAGAGGCCATTGAAACTGACGTGAAAAACGGTCTCATCCCCTGCATCGTAATTAAATTTAAAAAAATTAAATTACCTCGCTTTTGATAAAAAAAAAAAAACAATTGAAAGGTCATTTCAACTTTGGGCACTACGCCGACCTGCGCCAACGATCCTCTAGAGGAAATTTCCACTGTCTGCAAAGAGTTTGGTGTCTGGCATCACGTAGACGCAGCTTACTCAGGTCAATAATATTTACCCGCTGAAAGTGTTGATTTTAAACTAACTCGTTGTACAAGTGAATACGCAAACAGCATTCCTTATGTGAAGCGCGCGGTGTCCGCGCCTAAAACTGACTCTCTTGTTTGCTCAGGTGCCGCTTTGATTTGCCCAGAGTACAGATACATTTGCAAAGGAATCGAAAACACAGACTCGTTCAACTTCAACCCACACAAGTGGATGCTCGTTAACTTTGATTGTTCAGCATTATGGTTTGAAAAAAAAACACTCTAGCTTGATTAAATTAGCTGTAAATTATTTTCAGGGTCAAGGACTCGCGCGAGTTGGTCTCGGCCATGAGCGTTGACAGGGCCTATTTGGCGCACACCAAACAAGATTCAGGAATGCCCGATTACAGGGTGCGTGTTTTTTTTCTTTTCTTTTAAAATGAGTTTGTTTTTATAAGAGGAAATTATGCAGAACTGGCAAATTCCTCTTGGAAGGAGATTCCGCGCTTTGAAGTTGTGGTTTGTCTTGCGCATTTATGGAGTGAGAAAATTGCAAGAATTCATCCGACAGCAATGCCAGTTGGCGATCGACTTTGAGCAGCTTTTAAAAAGTGATGATCGATTTGAGATTTTCACCCCTGCTCACATGGGACTCGTTACTTTCCGATTGAAGGTGGATTGAGAAGTTATAAATAATTTTGATTTAATAATTAAATAATTTTAGGGTCCGAACGAAAACACCAAAAAGCTGATGGCTAATTTGCAAAGCGGCAAGAAAATTTACGTGGTTGGAGCGCAGCTTGACGGAAAAGAGATGATAAGATTTGCGATTTGCAGTAGATTCACAGAATCTTCTGACATTCAGTTTGCTTGGCAGGAAATTTTGCGTCAGACAGAAAAAGTATTTGCTCTGCCGAGTAAAAAGCAGGAAATAACGAGAGGCCAAAAATAGGCTTTCTTTTGATTAATATTCACTATGTCAAGAATATCAAAATAAAAATGCGCCTTTTTGAAGTTAACATTTTATAATATTTATTTGAAATTTTTTATGAGTTTATTTTATACAAAAGTTTTTATGGAACATTTTTTCGCTGAGTTTTAAAGATATTAAAAATTATTTTTACACAATTCCCGTATAGCAGGAGGAGTAAGAAATTAATATTTCAATTAGTTTTAATTAAAAGAGAGATGCCACAAAAAATACTTAAATGACGCAGCCCAAAAATTCTATTGAACATAATTTTCACATTTAAATCTCATTCGATGCACACAAACAAATTTCATGTCGGTCTCTCAATCACAATCTTTGGCACTCTCCTCATTTGTTCTAAAAACTCGCCAACCACAAGGCGGTGGCAACCATAGTCAGAGTGGCCACGGAAACCTCTGCAGCGGAGGCCGCTGAAAAATCGGCCCCGTTGCGACGACTGCCTGCTGAGCCGCGTCCACAGGCCTCACAGCCCACGTCACCCTCGCATATGTCACACATTGTTTGCACTCGCGGCATGTAAAACTGACGAGCTCTTCGCGCTAAAATATTATAAAAAAAAAATTAAATGTATAGTTTTGCAAATTGCATTAATTGGTTCATTATAAAGTTATTAAATAAGAGTTGTAAAGATAGCATAAAAAAATATATATAATTAAAATATTATTCACACTCAGCGCATCACCTGCCCCCGGAGTTTACTTATGGACTTAAATAAAATTTATTTTCAATTTTTGGTTGGATGGCTCGTTATTCGTGCTTTTCTTCATGGGGGAACGTCTTGTTATAAGTGGCAAAATAAAAACTCGCATCGAAAAAATTAAAAAAATTTAAGCTAAAGAATCACTTATATTTTCTTATAAAATTTAAAAAATGCCTTTGGCTAAGCCCTTGGGCATCTATATTAAATAATTTAATGTATAATTAAATGAAAAATAAACAATTTAGCTAAAATTTACTTACAAGAGTCGTAATAGTCGTAAATGGTAACTGGCACTGCTCTTTGTCTGGCCACTCTGTGCGTCCGGAAGGCTTTCACAGTAGGGCACAATTCCTCTCTTCCCATCTTGAAAAACAAATTAAATTCAAAATATAAATTGGAAAGAATGAAAATTATTAAAAAGCATACCTTGTCAAAGTACAAGACAACTTTTGTATCTCCATCTTGCGTTTCCACTCGCTGAACAAACGGCGCCGACCGAAGACTGGGCAACGAATCGGGGTCAGCGGTGTATCCTGAAGGCAACGAAACTTCCATAACAGCCATGTTACTGCTAATATTTCCAAGCCCAGTAAATCTGAAATTTTATATTTTACAAATTTGCAATAATTATGAAAATTATATAAATTTTACCCTGAGCAAACAGACAACTGCAGATGCTCCGGAGTCGAGTCCCTGGTAAGTTGTGGGTCCAAATGGAAAAGTGGCCAAGGCGCGGTCACTTCAACATTGTAACTGTATGACACTTGCACAATAGCAAAACCCTTGCCTTGTGCTCTGATTTTCAGGTCCCGAACAGTTTGTGGTAGCTAAAAAATTAAAATATAAAGAAAATTTATATTTTTTTGGCTGCAAAAATACCTCTTCCTTTTGAAGAATCATGGCGCTGTTAGAGTTCACAACAAGCGACTTGGGGCTATTTTTGCCTTCGTATTCGAAAGTCACTTCCACTCGCTGACCTGACGAGCTCACGGAAATCTGTTCCGCCAATTGAGCAAGCGCAGCCAAAGCAACAACGGTATCCTAAAATTTACAAGTTTAACAATTAATCCCCTATAATTATTATTTAAATTGAAAAATAAAATACCTGAGTCGATTCAAAACCGCCTTGGCTATTTCTCTGCGAAATCAGCCATTTCAAGATGGGCAGACTGTCCTTGACAAGGCCTCTTTCCAGATAGGTCATCAGGGCGTACGAGGTCATTTCCACCGCAATAGGGTCCGTCCTGTACTGCCTCCAGGGATTTTTCTTGTCGTTTTCAGGGACGGGCTTGCTCCACCACTTTGTCTCGTCCTTATTTTGCGCCTTGCTTTCCAAAAGATTGAACGCAGTTTCTTTCAAGGGATGACCTGCCAGCTGAAGGGCGTAGGCTGAAAGTGCAATTGCGTACGGGTCGTCCAGTCTGCCATCCAAGTTGCGTCCAATGTAGTCGGTGGCCTTGTTGATTACATTTCTGTACAGTCCAGCAGACTCCTTAAAAATTCAAATTGAAAATATATTAAAGTTCAGGAAAAACGACGAAAAAATTAATTTAAAGTTCAATTCTAAAAAATATATAATTAAAAAGATTTTTTTCCTACTGATTGAATTTTGACTGGAATTCAAACACTTTTAAAAATAGAAAATTATTATAAAAGTCATACTTTGTCCTGAAGGAAGGTGATCAGGGTGTAAGCAGTGAGGGCGAGGCCACTGGCCGAGCCACCCTGCATATCATGGTGGTGCACTTTGCCCACTTCAGGGAAACTGCCGTTGGTGGCTTGGACGCCCTGAAGCCACTGGAGCGCTTGTTGGACCATGCCAGGGTCAATCGTAATGTACGGAGAGGCGGCGCGGAACGATTTTGCAACAAAAGCGGTCAACCTAGGCAATTAATTAAATACAATATATGTTTTAAGTTGATCAAAAAGTTAATTATTACCATGTGCTACCGCTGGGGTCGACGTTTCCAAAAGCACTGAACGAACCGTCATCATGTCTGTAAGTTAACTCTTGTTGGTAGCCCATTTCAAGGAATTTCCGCGCCTTGTTTTCGACGGCTGTTGTGAGTTGATTTGTATTCTAAAAAAATAATAAAATTTGCTCTGGAAATATGTCCAAAAACTTAAAAAAAAAAAAATACCTTCAAGTAGTCAAGCACAACAATATTTGGAACGAAATTCAACATATTTTGCTCTCCACAGCCAAATGGAATTCTTATCAAATTTGCAAGATTAGGGATACTCGGTCCCAGTAAATCTCCTAAAATTTTTTGAATAAACGATTTAAAATTTTGAACCTTTAATTTTATTAAATTCAACCTACCAACAGTGGAGACTTCGACTCGCTCGGAACCTTCGACGAAATTTTTGGGGAACCTCAGAGTCAGATTTGTCTCAAAGTTGTCTTTGTCTCTGAGGTCAACAAAAACGGCGTCGTTGACATACTGGGTCTCACCCTCCGCCTTAACCAAAAGTTGTCTCTTCACAGCGTCACCGGCCAGCGCACTTTCGGCCTTAACCGTGACGTCGACAAGACCCAGTTTTTTTGTGGTCACCATGAAAGCGGTGTTTGCGGCACTGTTTGCCTTGACCACGATTTTCCTTGTAAGTTGAGATGCGTCAAAAGCTAAAAAATAAAGTTTGAAATTTTATTTTAGTATTTCCAAGATGAAACTAAAATTTGTATGGCAAAATTTATAAGTTTGATTTATTTACTTTTTGGTGCGTCGATGTCATTGGACATGTCAGGCACCTCAAACTGGCCATCAGAGTTCTCCAGGCTGACCTCCACAGACACGTCGCGTTCCATGTAATTGAAGACGACCACAGGAATGGCAAAAACTTCTCCGCGCTTCACATTGTAGGGAAGATCAAGAGAAACAAAGAACGGGCGGAAAATTCGTATCTGCATACATATGAAAAAAAAATCAAATTTACATAATTATCTCGTTGCGGGAATTTATCAATAATTTCTAACCTTGCTCGGCGAGTGGGTAAGTCCCAGTCCGTAAAGCGAATCCACTGAAAAGGCGGAGAGCACCCACGAAGTGATTGTGTCGGGCGCCTTTCTCTTCAAAGACGTGCGACCGTCAGGGCTATAAAAATTTTACAATCAAGTTTTGCCTAAATTAAAGAAGAAAAAAACCAGGGCAATAAAAATTAAACCACTTGAAATATTTGACGCGCCTCAAACGTGAATTTAAGCATTTCAAATAAAATACCCTGTGAACATGTCCTCAAAGAGCCAGACGGGTTGCGGCTCGTGAGGAAGGTGAATTCGCGGATTGGTGAACACTGGCTTAGGAATGCGAGAAAAGGCGTAAGGCCCTGCCAAGGGCGGTCTCGTTGGAAAGGTTCCTGGGTAATTTTTGCCACTGGGCAGCCTCGTCACGACGCCTCCAGGCGGAATTCCTATTTGAAGAGTACCAAAAACGGCTGCTTTATTTATATATTTGGCCAAATGTTTGAGTTATTTTTGAATTAATCTATTTCTACTACATTTTGTAAGCCAGGTTGAAAGTTATTCGAATATGAGTGGGAATTTGCAGGACATTCTGCCGTTTTGTACATGTACAAAAACAAAAATAATGCTAGTGAATTAGGTTAAAACGCAAACATGAGATGGTAAAGAGCGAGTCAGATATTACAGTGGTTTAATTTTGAGCCAGTCTGCGTCGGTAATTACCCTGCATCTACCAACTCCCACAGCCAAGTTTCTGGGAAATGTTTCCTGACCCTCGGAGGCTTCTGTTTTGCGCCGTCGACGACGTCGTTTCCCACACCTTGCAAGTCCTCCTTGTTTTCGTGGTCCTCTTCGTCGAACATTATATCTTGGTCCAGGTTACGATAATAAACTAAACAAAAAACCATCAAAGTCTCAAGTCGGTATGTTATCGTGCCTAATTAATTTCAATTAACTCGGTCACTGAGATTAAATTAGCGCACACAAAACCAACACCAAAGCATTTTTTTAATGAATTTTAGTGAAGCTGGATTTTTATTAATTTTTGTTATTTCTTACCTAAGGGCAAATGCTCGTGGACGTAACCATTGGTCAAAATCACAGCTCCCGATTTTTCGAAAACTTCGCCGGCGTCCGCAGATCCAGGCCACCAGTAAAGAGACCTTTTCCTCCTGCGCTTAACATCTCTCACGAAAGGTGACCAAAGAGGGTTCGAGGGCTCTCTTGGAGCAGAGTCGTAGGACAGAAGTTCATTTTCCACGTCGTGCTAAATTTAATTAAAATGTTTTCCCAAACGTTTTTTATTTAAAATAAATTCATACCATTGTCAGGTCATTTCCCTTTCTCAGTAAAAGAACGCTTTGATCAACACCAAGAAGACCAACGTAGGAATTGGGTTTTGTTCTGATTGTCACGTCGACATTTCCTCCGGGCTGAGTGTCCATTGGGTTTACTTCCAAGTCGATCTGATTTGTTAAAATTAATTATTTCCCATTACAAATTTAAAAATGGCGAATTTAAATCACTCACGAAATTTTGCAACATCCCGGAGACAGAAAAATCAACGGCGTCAGCAATGATTTCGCCGTTTTCAGGTCTCACGTAGTAAACGACGAGATGTGCTCTCGGCGTCATGGCCTGTGTGGCCACAAATCTGAATCGCTGGTCGTGCTGACCGGCAGGCACTTGCACCGTACCTGCTGTTAGCACATCTCCTCGGCCCAAAACTTCATAATTGAATGAAGTAATTGCCTCTGTGCAATTAATGTACACTTCAACGTCATTGCCAACCTGTGGAATGTTATATTAAAACTTTATCTGTGAAGTGATATAAGATAAAAAATAATTAACATTTTGTAACTGCGTTTTAAAGTTAAGCTTATAATTTATTAGCACAAATTTGTAGTTCTAGAATGAATATTATTAATTTCACTCAGTTTTGATTATTACTAATTAGGGATTTTCAAGTTTTATTAATATAATTTGATCCAACATTTTGCAAGTTTTAATTTTAATATTTCAATAAATTTTTAATATATTAACTACCATGTAGAGTAACATTTAATAAAATTCCATGACATAAAATGAAGTTTAATATAACTTTAAACAAATGGGCTTATTTACTCTTGGTGAGTAAAAAACGTTTTGTTCAATGTGATGCGCCCTACTTAAACCCCTGGCTCTGAAAGATATAGGCAGTGCCGCACAGCATGCGAGCTCCACCCGTTGCATAGATCGCGAACTACACAGACGCACTGGTATGATTTTCGATCAGGGCGAACTAAAGAACTACTTTTTTCCCACTCACCTCTGAATTTTCAGATCTGACAGAAGCTTGCAGGAAGGTGTTGCTTGGAGAGACAGCGGCAGTTATGGAGGAGAACCACTCACTGAGGTCCAAATATTGAGCCTTTTTACAAATAACAAATTTACATGTAAATCAAAATTGTTCATTATAATTTTAACAAATATCACCTCCAGTCCCAGAGTAGAGACGTTTGACACCAGAGGAGGGTAGAACGTAAGCTCCACTAGGCCATCACTGGTCAGGTAGTGATTTTCTGAGGTGTATGTATCGTGGTCATATCCATATCCCCAACGCACCTTGACTGGATTTTTTGAGTCGGTAATTGGTGCCCCATCGTGGGTAGACAATTTAATCTGTTAAAAAAAATTAAGTTTAGAGGATTAATTAATTTATTTATTCTTACAAAAGCAGTAAATTTAAGCCCAGGCTTATAATATTCAGAGGTTTTGACCAGCTCCATTTTGTACTTGTTTTTGTGCAGTGGGATTGAGGTCGAGGAGTTTTGTCGGCGACCAGTCAGTGCTTCCTGCACCGTCACTTCAATTTGTACAGGCCTTTCAAAGTCATCCTTTAGACTGAAAGATAAATTTTAATTAATTTTCAAGGATAAAAATTGTTTTAATATTTTCTACCCCAATTCTTTCACAATGTCAAACTCAACATTGGCCTTTCCGTCAATGGCAACAACTTTCCGTACCGGGTTTTGGAAAATCGGTTGGATGATTCCTGAGAAAATCGTCGGGTACATGGTGACCGTGGCTTCACCTTTGACAGGTGTGCCATAGGTGTATCTATTTTAATTAAAAAATTTTTAATTTAAAATTTTATGTTTAATAGTTAATTTCACGTACTTGGCAGTGATTGTGGCAGAAATGCGCGAATCTTTGAAGGTTGTGTAAGAAGGCGTCGAAATGGAGACCTCGAACTTAGGCAGGACGTATTCTGCAACCTGGATGCTTTTGTGGAACGATTGGTCCAAAACGCTGACCGTAATATTCCAATCTCCCAAAACTGGATTTTTGGAAAGCGGAAGCTCGGCAGAAAAGACGCCCCTTGTTGGCAAAACGCGAGACCACTGCTTTACGCGGTTACCTTTGCCATCCTGATGAAAAAAAACACGAAATTAAAGTTTGGAGTTTTAATTTAAATTAAAGTGACTCACAGTGAGGAAAACGTCCAGGGCGGCGGTGACGGTGGGCTTGAGGTGTTTGTTGAGTGCCAGGCACCGGAACTGGATCGTGTCCCCTGGTTTGTAAATCGCCTTGTCTGTCTGGATTAGCACGGTGTAGCTTTTGTGCACATAATCCAGTTCGGTGCTGTTTTGGAAGTCGAGACCGCCACTTCCCCGCACAGTGACGTTGTAATTTCCAGGACCAACATCTCCAACCTTGGCATAAAATAAAATTAAACAAAGTGTTCGATTATTTATTAATTAGGAAAAATTACGTCTATTCTGAGAATTCTGGTAGTTCTGGGCTCAACGGAAATGCTCTGCGACGCCGAAAACTTCCCTCCGCTGTCTTGTCGACCTCCAACTTCCACCCACACTTGAGTTGTGCGATCTACGCCGTGAGTGGACACGGAAACGTGATATTCACTGTTTGGCCTGAGAACCTTTGGTGCGATAACTGTGTAGAATCTGCGAACCATTTAATTTATTTCATAGATAAATCTTTCTTTTTGAAAAAAATATATGAAAAGGGAATTTAAATTAGGAAATATTTATTTAATTTTTGCAAGAAAAAAATACACAGAAAAATGACCGTGGCTCTGGCCAAGGCTGCTTCATCTCCCGTGAGAAAATTTCATCGCATTTGCAGGGAGGTGGTGCGTTTTTAATTATCCTCATTGTTCGCCGCAACAATGGTTACATTCATCTTCTCTGTGCTGTCATGAGAATTGCAAAATTCAAAATTTTTCACTGCTGGACTTGACAATTTTAAACATGCACGGTGATGGTATAAAAAAATTACTATCAGTCGCCGGTTGGCGACTACACGCAGTGCGTGTTTTAATGAAGGGAACGGAGATAAAAGTGAAAAAAATGCGTTCAGCATACTAACGACGCTTCATGTTTTTTACAAGCGATAGTTAGAGCGTTTGCTCTGTTGAATATTAATTACGAGTTTTGACTACGCATTAAATATTCCTGCAAGCACATTAAATAATAATTCCTTCAATTGAAAACTTATTGCTGGAGAAGTATTACAATTATCACAAATTTTCTTATTTGTAAATAATTTTCATTGGAAAATCTGGAAAATTTACTTTCAAGAAATTGATTTTTTTTTTAAATATATTTTCATAATTTAATTTATATTAAAAATTATTCTACCCTTTTAACTTTTTCTAATAATATATATTACATGTCCATGCACGTGCCAAATGTATTATTTAATTTTTCACTCAAATTGAGAACACGCTACTTATGCCAGCTCTGCTCTTTCAGCTTCTTGAATCAATGACTCAACTTTTCCGCGTGCTTTCCAACCGTCGGAGAGAGCACAGCTTTATTCAAATTTGTCATCGCGGCTGAAATTCTGACGTCACTGTTCGCGAAGGTACAAAAACTGATTCAGAGGCGTAAAGTGGGCGCTCATCTCGGAGCGCCTCTCTTGGGTGCGTAGGGCGCAACAAGGTCGGCTCCTGCTCATACCCTTGGCAAGCAAATGAGCAACACTACGATTGGAATGAGCAAACTACATTTCGCTTTTAATTGATATGCATAAACGTCATGACGCGGAAATCTAAGAGTTTGAAAGAAAAAAAAATTCATTTTTAGAAGAATTAATTCAAGGTTTTAAAAGATCCATACTTTTTACTGGTAATAATGTTATAAAATTATCTTAAACTATTTTTTTTTTCAAATTTGTGTAACAATTATCCGTTTTCTTTTGCGACGCAATAGTTTTTGTAGCAGCGTTACCAGGCAAAAATTGGCACTCAAGATCAAGGCGGCTTAACACGTTCATCTCAAAAGCAGCGAACCCACACACACGAGTGAAATATTAACGATCAGCCGCCGCGGCACCCACCTGACTTACTTGTTCTTCTTGCAATAAGATTTAAGATAAATTTTTGAATCCCTTGCATTTTATGACGCTCAAATAAGTAAAATGAGAGTATTGTCTGCGACTGAAAACTGGTTCCCCGCTGTTCTTCAACTTGAAATAAATAAAAGTCGCGCAAGTGAAAAAATATCGTTACGGTACAATTACACAAGACTAACTTCTTTTGCTCCGTCAGGTTGCGGAAAGAGATGTTTAAGTTTTCCATCGGATTTTTTTGCCGAACGGTCAGCATCTTCCTATTCTTTGAACAGGTGTTGACTAAATCGTCACTGATCCATTCAGGGTAATGACACCTTTGGGAGTTTCCGCTTTGTGCATTATTTGCATGAAAAGAGATTTTTGCTAATAGATACGATTCCACCGGAAGCAGTTATATCACATTTGTTTATCTTGTTTTATGCGCGTTTAATTTCCAGACATACAGAATCAACAGAACGCGAAATTTGCGCGGTTAAAAAAAAATCATTTTTGAGGATTTACGAAACCTTTCTTGTCCTTTTTAAATAACAAAAAGGTTAGAAATTTAGTATAACCTTTGAGAATTGATAAAAAAAACTTACCCTTGTGCCAAGGCAGATGAAAAAACAGTCACTGCGACACTAACAAAAATTGCTGCTCTCGCTTGTTGCCGCATTTTGATCTAGAACAAAGTAATAAACAATGCATGAAATTAAAATATTAGAAATTAAATTTAAACAAATTAATTGAAAAAACTGAAAAAAATATTCTCACACTTCAGCTGATAAAAAAAGAACATGACCAGGGCTATTTAATTTAAATTGTGGCGTTTCCTTGATTAATTTTATGAGAAGTTTACTGTAATTTCTGCTCCTATTTAAATCTTAAACCGTAGCTTTACTGCAGAATTAATAAGAAATGCAAAACACTAAAAATTCTCAAACAATTTAACAAGGAAATTCACTGTGTTAATTCATATCTCAGCGTAAATCATGTCTTGATTGCGAAAAATTTAAAAAAAATTGTTCTTACATTGCTCGACCAACAGTGATTGATATTATTTTTTATTCTTTTGTTACTTGCTTTAATTATTTTTCCATAGCATAATATTATCAAAGCTTTATTAATATTTCCATTCAGTTTGCAACGCAACTTCTGCGTGAAACTAAATTTGTTTCTGCCGGTAAATTACTTCAAGCACACCTTGTTCACTGTATAATGAGTTATTTATACAATCACCAAATTATTCTACATAATGAAAAGGTGCGATAAACAGACAAAAGGCGAATTCTCACAAGCCACGAATTCCCACGGCACGCAAGGCCAGAAACTTTATTTAATGTCTGGCAGGACAGACCTTTGATGCAGAGAATTGCATCATTTCAAGTTCTAGCACATTAGTGGCCCCGAATGCATTCAGGTGTGCCTCTGCGTTGAGGATGTCGTAGAAGCTGGTAGAAGCCGCACCGAAGAGATATTTTCGTGTGCGTGTCACGCGTTTAACCTCATAGAGAACTTTCTCCTCTATTAATTCCGCCGCGTGCATATACACTGCACATTCTACTTTTGGGCCATCCTAACGACGCTGTCAATTTATAGCAGCTGTTCAAATTTCATTAAATTCAAACGACGCCTTTTTAGTTTACTCTGAGCTTTTCCTTCAAATTAGCACCAAGAAAATTATTGACTTTTTAAAAAAATATTAAATAATAGATAAAATATTACTATTATTTGCCAAATTTCATAATTTTGTATTAATATGTTGAAATTTAGATTAAATTTTTTCTAGAAAAAAGATTCCGAAATTCTTGAAACAAATTTTTAATTAAATATTTAAGAAATTTCATTTATATACAAATTTAAGTCTAAGCAATTAGTTAAATTAGTTCACTTTCATTCTTTGACACATTTTTCTTCAAGATTTGGATAATTTGAGACGTTGAAATTTTCGCAACAAAGTCGGAGATAAAATCTCAGCATTTCTCTCCTTTGTACTTTGCCTGCCGTTTGGAGCTTTCCAGTGAATGAAATGTGTGCGAACGTCAGGCTGAAATGCACTGTTAAATTGTTTCAAGTCTGGTTCACATTCGGTTCAGTTTGTAAGTAGTGGATACTTAATGAGATGAGCACAAAGAGGAGAACAACAAAATCAACGGCTGTCAAAATCAACACCTTGAAAATGTGCAAATTGGGTGTTATGCTCCGGCCGACAACTGTAATTATACAAAAAAAATCACGTGGCTTGTGTTAAACGTTAATGAAATGGAGTGGAAAAATGTAAAAAAAATTAGCTCTTAATTTTTACGTTAAATCAAAAGTTTTAAATTGATCAGCTGATCAGGATGCAGCGTTTATTTAAAATTGGTTCTGTTGATTGCAAAATAGAGAGTTGCATGGGAAAAACGGGGCGGAAATTTAGTGAAATTGTGCTGGAGTCACTGCCTGCGACAGAATTTTGTCATTGTACGTGCACACGGTGAGCTTACACGGAAATACTCGACAGAGTTTACAATAATAATATTCAAAGAGTGAAAACACGGACATCCTGAACGTGCCCCACCAAGTAAACTTTGCGCTTGTTACGTGCGCAATTAGGGCACAAAGCATGCTTTGTGTTCAATATGATGTTAAAAATAATTGACGATTTAAATTTAACTTTGTAAAGCAATTTCAGTGTTTATTTAATTTTAAATTAAATAACTAAAAACAGCTAATTCGTTACTTCAGGTAATATTTTTCTCTTTTCAATAGTTTGAGGCTCTTGAGAAATTATTTTCTATTTCCCAAGCGCATGAGAAATGCCAATCGAAGCAAATCAAAACGATCACCGATATGGCGCGAATGAAAAAAGTTTGTGGAAAACACCGCGGGTGGCATGAAATTTTTTTCGCAAAGGCGCCACTGCCATATACATATAATTAAGAATTCACGCTAGAGAAGATATCGTACTTAGAAAGCAGATAATCACGCCCGGCTGCTCTGATATTCTGTGCATTCTAATATGATATGAATTGTACCAGGGGGGCCATCAAAGAGAGGAATATTTTACCACGCACAAAGCTCTTCATTGTTGAGGTGTCTCATTAGAATATAATGAGAAAGGTTATTCTGATAATGAATCTTTGAGACTTTCGTTGTGATTATTTGTACTTAACAATAAAAGAAGGTAAAATTCTCTCTAAGGAGAAAACATCTTGAAGAATATAAAAAAACATTATATTTTTGGGCAGATTAATTATGCATCAATTGGTGCTGTACATCTTTAATTAGGAAAATTGATTCAAAGTAAGATTTGTTTTAATTTTTAGTTACGTTCTGATTTCTAATATGAACAGTTGGATATTAATTGATTATTGAAATAAAAGCATTTATTGCATTTATTAAGCAAGAGGTAATTTCAAGAAGAAGAAAAGAAAACTGTAAAAAGTTGCTTATTTGAATAGATCTTGTATTTATTTTTTCATTTGATATTTTCTTTCAACTGAATTCTTCTGCTACAACAATTATTTACTTAAAAATTTGAGGCAGAACGTAACGCTACCTACGCCAAATAAAACTTTTCAGTCTTGTTTTAAGCTACGGTCTGCTGCACCACTGAGTGCACCAAGGAAGAAAAAACACGAAAATCGAATTAACCCTTTATAGACGCAGGGCAGGAAGTGGCCTGCACTCCTTCGTTTTTTATTAGCCGTGGTTTTAACAGCTAAATTTAAATACCCAAAGGACTATGAAGTTGAAGTGGGATTAAAGGTGAGGTAGAAATAAATCTCGGCGGCGGCAAAGGTCGACGACCACAACGTTTTATCTCGAAAGAGGTGTGTCAGGGTCATCAGAAGGAGCGCGTTAAATTTTTGGGGTATGATTCTCTCCACGCTAATGTTTAATATTATCTTATAAATTTCATGCTTATTAGTTATGGAGTCAAATGTGATAAGTCATATTTTTTTTACTATTCAAGTGACTATTCTGATAAATATTTAAAAAGAAATTTGAGAATTTTTTTATTTTAAATAATGCCTTCCATTGCATAATTAATATCAATTAATAATTAAAATTGAAATTTCACGAAAAATTGCACTGTTTTTATTTTATTTTGCAAAATGATTAATCTCAGTTTTTAAATTTTAAAGGATAAATTTCTTAATTTAATATTGTTAATTTTATCTTTTTTTTTTAACAAACTCAATTATACAGAGAATTTGTGGTTTAGCTATTTCTATGGCACCGTTTAACTCGATTAACTAAGAAAAGAACAACGGTCTTTTGCTGCGGCTGCAGCACTGGTCAAATTACAAAACAAAAGAGCTAGATTAAAACTACCGTAATTTGTACCTCAGAAAGGCATTTGATGAAAAGAACGTTTTTTTGCTTTGTAACCCAATATCATCATCAAATTAACGTTAGAATTGTTAGAAATGAGAAAATAAATATACTTTTGTCCTCCATGTAAGTGTGCGATGGTCGAGACCAATTCAAAACAATTTAGTGCAATCACCCGATGACTATGACGCCGGTCTGACTATGAATAATGAATGTTTGCTGAACGCTGCGTGTGTATTGTGTGATTGTGCGACTCCTGAGAGAGGCGACCATAAAAGGAGACATCAGCACCAAAGGGACGTTACTCAATCGAGAATTGTCTCGACGGTTTCGGAATATTTAAAAATATTGCCACACAGTTCTCGGCCCTCCGGAATATTTCCTAAACGAGGTGCGACTCACCTGTTGGTGTTTCTTCCTTTACCAAGGGTTGAACCACAGCACAGCTAGGAATGTAATTTTCCTCTCCGGTGAGCAGCCCTACAAACAGCACTGCTTCATTGCTATTCCGCTGTGCGTCGACAACACTGACGCTGCAGCCGCTGGCCGGCGCGAGTAGGCGAGTCATACCTGAGAGCAGACGTCAGGGAAGGGGGAACGCAGGGTCAGGTGGGATTTCGTTGCCGGCTGGTGAACAAACTCTTTAGTGGAGAGCAGAGGCACCGGCTGCGCGAAAAGGATATGCGGCCGCCATCTGGCAGGGCAACGCCGGAGCTCGATCGCTTCTAATTAATTCCAGTCGGTTCGAGTCATTTCTTTTTAAATTCTGATCATATTTCATTACAATTTTTTGTATTTAAATTTCTCTCTTTGTAGTTAAGCAAATTGTATTTGATTATTTTTTTATTAAAATATACTCAAAGCTCAAAGTATAGACAGTAAACCACAAATTTGATCAAATGATTGAGAGGTAAAATCGGATAATATCAAAACTGGATACGGATTTCTTAAAATTAAATTTAATTTAGATAATATGATACAAACTAAAAATTAATTATCGGGGTTTATTTATAATTATAAAATTTCACTAACTTTTAAATAATTATCTTATTAGTATATTTTAAATAAAATCACTAAGCAATATTAATTTAAATTATCAAGTAAAGTAATAAAATGAAAGGTTAATAATACATAAACATTTTCATATAAAATGCGCTTAAAAAAAAGAGATTTGTGTTTCTAATCTCTCCCAGAAAAGATTTTTAAAAATAAGTCTTTAATTTTTAAATTTTGATTTACATAGAGCAAAATGTGTCGGTTGAATTTTTAATCCCTTCAACAATTGGGACAATTAAATCAATTAAAACAGTATATTGATATTATCTCGTGGATTTCGCGCCTAAAGTGTTCAAAGCGTAATGACAGGCGCCCGTATCGCAACGTGGGCCAATCGGAGGGCACCACATCGGCGTGGTACTCGGCAAATTGTTATGCTGTCTTGACGTCCCGTGTATTCTGCTCCACAGATCGAGTGAAGAGCACCGTTTTCAAGTTTTCAAGAGGTTTCTGATGACAAGGTGAACGACAAAACGAGCAGAAGAAATGTGGCTTTGGAGCGTAATTAGTCTGAATGTGATATTTAGCTTGGTCACCGTCCTCGCGGGGTGAGTTTTATTTACAAAATCCAATCCGAAAGTGCAAGTTCACCGAACCCTTATTTAATTTCCCTTTCGATGTTTTTGGATTTTATCAGCCCTTAATGTAGCCTTATCATTGCAAGAGTCGAACTTGTGCTTGTGAAATTAAGTAATAAATTTTTTGAAATTTTCAGCCGCGACTTTTATTCAATTCTGGGAGTCAGCCGAAGTGCCAACACAAATCAGATCAAGAAGGCGTACAGAAAGCAGGCCAAAGAACTGCATCCTGATCACAACAAGGACGACCCTGACGCGAACCAAAAGTTCGCGGATCTCGGAGCAGCTTACGAGGTTCTTTCAGACAAAGAGAAGCGAGAACTTTATGACAGATGTGGCGAAGATTGCCTCAAAAAGGATGGTTAGTATCCTTATTTCTGTTATGGACACGTCATTGCTGATGATCTAATCATTTTTTAATCAAGTGGATGAAAATTAAACTAGTGCTCGAAGATACAATTATAACCCTTTAATGAATTTTCAATTTTTGCAGGGATGATGGGCGGAAACCAGGACCCGTTTGCCAGCTTTTTCGGGGATTTCGGCTTCCACTTCGGAGGAGGCCACAGTGAGCACAATGAGATTCCGCGAGGTGCCAACTTAGTCATGGACCTGTGGGTCTCCCTTGAAGAATTGTACTCGGGAAACTTTGTTGAGGTAAATTTTTTGCATCGTCACAATTATAAAATTTTATTAAACATCTTGCCTTGCAGATTACGAGGAATAAACATGTAATCAAGCCTGCTCAAGGCACGCGAAAGTGCAACTGTCGCCAAGAAATGGTGACCAGACATTTAGGACCAGGACGATTCCAAATGACGCAGCAGCAAGTCTGCGACGAATGTCCGAATGTCAAGTGCGTTTCGTCTATGAAATATATTTAATTGGAAAGTAATTTTTATTGTTATCTGCAGATTAGTAAATGAAGAGAGGATATTAGAAGTTGAAGTCGAGCCCGGTATGACTGACGGCCAAGAACAAAAGTTCGTAGCCGAGGGTGAACCACACCTCGATGGCGAACCGGGAGACTTGATTTTGAGAATAAAAACCACGCCTCATGCAAAGTTTGAGCGGAGAGGTGACGACCTGTACACCAACATTACTCTCTCCTTACAAGTAATTTTTTTATTTCATTAAATTGACGAAATAATTTTTTCTGTAAATTTAGGACGCGCTGGTCGGGTTTAGTTTGGACATTGAGCACTTGGATGGGCACAAAGTCACCGTGAGCAGAGACAAAGTAACTTGGCCTGGTGCGAGAATCAGGAAGAAGGGCGAGGGGATGCCCAACTACGAAAACAATAACCTCCACGGCACTCTTTTCATCACCTTTGATGTCGAGTTCCCCAAGACAGAACTGAGCACAGAAGACAAAGAAGGTAAAAATTGAAAGTTTTTTGTGTGAACCTTTTCTAATTTTTTAATTTATCACAGCAATAAAGAAAATATTAAACCAAAGTTCCAACAACAACGTGTACAACGGTCTGAGGGGCTACTAGTGAGCAAACCAGCTCGGGACATCAGTGACAAAACACTGGAGAACTGATCTCTTGGTGGACTGAGTAATCTGCCAAATTGGACATTTTGGTGTTTCGTCATTGGCTTATCTGAGAACATAATGTTGTCGGATAGCATTCAGTGGCTGTTGACCTTTGTTGCCCTTCCAGATCAATCAATCACGTCTTGAGTTGTTGTTTTACTTTCTTAAATAGTTGTTGAAACTTCAAAAATAATGTATATGTGCAGTGTGTGAATGTTTGTACAAGAATAAATTATTGAGAAAAAATTTAAGCATATCAAACGTTAAACTGTTTCATTTTCTGCACTATTGCATTGCTAATTTTTAAATAAATGAAACCATGTACGTGGATAAGCTTTTCGTTGGGAAGGATGATTAAAATTCTGTTGTTATTTTAAGCAAATTTTATTTGCAAAATCATTTCGACTTGACCAAGATTGTTAAGTCTTGGTTTTATCTTTTTGTAATCGACCAATTATTAACCAGTTAATAATTTAAATCAACCAATCTCCTTACAATCAATACTCATCAGCAGCTTACATTTGAGAACGAGAAAGCAGACACAGTGGATTATAGTTGGAATTAGGCATGGCTTCAAAAGTGTCCTCCGCGCAAAGCCAAGACCAAGTGAAGGACTGACCCGCCTTGCACTTTGTAATCCTGAGCAGTCTTCTCGTCATTCCTGTGGGGAAAAAGAGAGTGAAATTGTTCAATTCTTTTAATTAACTGCAATTTTTGATGGCTGAAAATTCAAAAGAGATAACAAATAAAATTCTTAATAATATAATGTAATCCATCTTCTATTTTTAAATAAAAACTTAAAGCATCAAATTTAAAATTAAAAATATTTGCATAATTTGTGGGAGGAAAAATTTAAATTGTTAAAAAATTAATTTTTGGCGAAGTTTGATAATATATTCATGTAAATTCTCACAATAATATTGCAAAGAAGAGAATAAATTATCAGAATTTTACATTTGTTTGCCAGAGAAGATGAGTCGTTGCTGCTGAGGAGGAATGCCCTCTTTTTCTTCCACTCTCTCCTTGATTCTTTCAACCTTGTCTGTCGGTTCAATATCAATTTCGATCTATTTTAAAGAAACAAACTTAAGTAATCAGGACACAACACAATGATCGTTGAACAAACCTCTTTGCCGGTCAGGGTCTGAAAAAGAGAACGAAAGCCGGTGTCAGAATAGTCCAGAGAGAATCAGTTTGATTTTTAATTCATGTTCATGACTCACCTTCACTTTGATCAACATCTTGAATTTTTAATTTAATTCAGTCACTATTTATGAAACTAGGTGCTGAAGTCGAGCTTTGGATCGACCTACGAAACGTTAAAATTTACTTGCAGATTTCCAATCTTCCAAATTTGAATTAATTTGAAAGCCACTGCCAGTCTGAGGAGTTTGCCGAAGAGAAAACAAAACAAACTTCGGGCGACTGTTTTTGCTACTTTCAACGCGGGCCAACAGATGGCGACTGCGTTGGCAGAAATTTGCGGCAATAAAATAGAAAAACGTGCTGTGTTCGAGCTACAGGCAATCATATTAACGTCACCAAATTTTATTTTATTTTATTCATTTTATTATTTGCATTTGTACTGCTTTTCCAACACATCATAATAAGTTCCTTTTGAAATTTTGTATATAGCTTATTAATTTATGAAATTAAATTAATTTTATTTATTTAATTCCTCGCAATTTGCAATTTCCTACTCATTTCCACACTCTTTTTTCATTCTTGCATTTTGCCCTAATTCTTTTTAATGTGTTTGACAGCAAATTTTAGGAAACTTTTGCTGATTTTATAATTTTTAGATTGCTTTTGTGTACCAAAGGGATCCTAGAATCCATGTTAAAATTAGCATCTGATTAGCATCTTTTTGCAAAATGTAATTATTTCACTAATATGACTGTGGTATTAGTGTGATTTAATTAAAGACAAGTTTATGATCACAGAAACAACTTACATAATAGGAACGTTTTAGAGCTTTTTACTAAATGAATGAAATTCAAATTTTTGCTGCTTTTTCCTTTTCTTCAAAATTTTATTATCTTATTTTATTTTTTATAATTGCTACCAGGTTGTTACACTTTTTCAAAATAAATTATAATAAATTATTTCGCTAAAATTTGGCCAAACAGAGGGAATTAATTGTTTATACTTTGAAAATTTATAAACATATATAGTCACAATAAAAAAATTATTATTATGATTAGCGATATGTTTTTTTCCCATTGCACGTTTCAATTCACAATTTCGAGGACAATACACGGATAATACGCGGTTACGCATTATTTGATTGCGAGAGAGCTCTTCTCGATGCTCCGAACTAGAGCTCTGAATGTGTTTATCTACCTCGGCGAGGTATCATGCGGGTCGGTGTTTGCTTTTCCAAAGGAAAGATAACCAACTTGGCAGAAAAAGCAGGGGATGAATTATATATAATTCACAGAAAATGTGAAATTGGCTGTACTCTACAGACAGATTTTGAAATATTTTGACTTCATTATAAATAAATTCTTAATTTTGTAGGCTGGGAGAAAATAAAAATATTTGGCAATAAAAAGGCTTATTTCTGTTACATTAAAATAAAAACTTCTTTTAAGGGCGATGTGAGGAAGCGAACAACACATTAAGAAAAATGAGAAAATTCTTTGTATTTAAATGCATTTTATCAAAAAAGGGGGATAAACTGAGCGAGTCGGTTAATTCAATAAGCGCGTGAAAAACTGACCCTCATAACTGTGTATAATTCAGTTTCATCTTGGCGCACAAAGGGATTTCTAATTTTTAAAAGTGGTCACAATAATGATGATATAACATTTCTCGCAGACAGATGCATGGACGCGCCACCATCCTTTGCGGCCACACAGAGACATATGTATGCATTTGATTATGTGTGTAATAAAATTTCCATTCGACGCGTGATTTGGTTAAATGGATTAGGAGAACGAGGCGAGGGTTGAAATGAGAGAAACACCAATTGAAAGAGCGATGGCTTAATTCAGAATGTAGACCAGTCTGGCTCTTTTCTTCGTTTCCGACTCTTTCCATCTCGTTGCACGATTTTCAAGGGCCTGCGCTCGTAATGAACCCTTTCAAAGTAACGCGCCGCGCCACTAAGTTGGTGACATCAGCACGTTGCATTAAAAACGGGTGTTATTTAACTTTTTATGGCATATTAAAACGCATTAAAGCCTATGAACTGTCAGTCACATGTCTATCACTCACACGCAAGCGAGATATCAGTTAAATGATTTTTATTACTTTAATGGGAGAAGAAAATCGAAATCAGTGCGATACAAAAATTGGACCACAACTGTCATTGAGAAGAATTTCTAAATTAATTTAACTTTCACTTGTTTTCTAATTTAATTTATTTTTATTAAAATTCAAAACTATTCTTGGAATAAAATTTTTATCCATTTATTTTTGTATTAAATCCTGCAGCCTGTTCAATTTAGTTGTAATGCGTGCTGCATACATACACTATATTTTAACAAAATTCAGTAGCGCGCATAAAATGTTTTCAATATTTTCTTTTTTCTTGATAAATTTTAAACGATGTTACTGTATGTATTGATTTTTATTCTACTCGGATAGATTTATTGTTAGATGACTTTTGTTAATAAGGAAATGTTACAGGCCTCAATTTTTTTTTTTAATTTTTTAGGGCAGAAAATTTATTAATAATCATTATTTTAAGAAATTAGATAAGTGTCTGCTGAGTATAAAAATTGAATTATAAAATTTTTATTATATAAGAATAAAAAAATCACTCAATTTTATCTAAGAGACTTCTCGCTTTAATGTCATTTTTCGAATTGTTTTTATTTTTTTTTTTCTTCAAACATTCAGAGATTTATATTTACCGGAAATGATTGAATTGATTTATCTCAAAAATAAAAATAAATATGCATTTGTGATGGTTTTCTGCATCAAAAGCTTAAATTGGCATATTTCGAAGCCATCAAATTTCACAGCAATTTAAAAAAAAAAAACAATGGAAAAAAACGAGAAGTTCATTTGTGACAAAAAAATCCTTTTATTAGATTTTTACAGTCAAGAAAAATCTGCTCAAGCATTATGTTGTGTTGTTGTTATCAAGACGCATTTATCAGTGGGAGCAGGCATTATAGGCAGACATGTCAAATGTGGGACAATGGCATAAAAAGTTATTGTTGCACCTCAAGTGGGCCAAAATTCCCACGGAAAAACACCCCCTGGGCGGGCGAAAGTGCGAGTGCCGTGGCCACAGCGCACCGCATCTCTCTCTCTCCCTGCAGTCGTCACATCTCGATCAGACTGAAATGATAGTGCGCAACAATAACGAACGAAAAGCCACTTTAAGACAATCAGACTGGCCGCCCACTGGGCGCGCACTCACCGTTGTATCGCAGCCAGCAGGGACTCCCCTTTGCACCAAGGGACGGTCGGCCCAGGGGTAATAATGGGGAAAATTAGTGAGCGAGTTGCATAATAGGGGTGGTTATTTCTTTCCTCGGCGAGCCGGCCGACAAAACTAATAAACTTCCTTAATTTCAGACTTGAAGGTTTTTTAATTTTAAATAATGAACGCTTTTTTATTGAAGCAGGTGATTTGAAAAGAAACAATGCTTAAAAAAAGGGAAAATTTTTGGTGATATTAATTCAATAGAGCGTATAATTTGTTTATATATTATTTAATGAGTATTGAGACCATAATTTCAATTAAAAAGAAATTTAAATTTAAATTCCAAATTTAAAATCCATTAAATTCACTTTCACAATTAAAATTAATTCAAATCAAAAAGTAAATTCAAATAAAATAATTACTGTAATTATTTTATTCAAATTAATTAATGTAAATTATACTCAATTAAAATCAAACAAAGCTAGACGCACAACACGAATCTGTAAAATGCATAAAGGCCAAAATAAATCTTGCTGTCAGGTAATCAGTTAAATTGCAATAAATTAGAATATATAAAATGTGTTAAAGAGATATAAATAAATTGCAAATTGTAGATAAAGTTTAAATTAAATTAAAGATTATAGCGATTATAGTGAAAATTTAAAAATTAATAATTTGAAAAGAAAATTAAATTCAAGATTTTATATTTTTCATTTATTAGATTGATTTTTTTAAGTTAACTTTTGTTAGTTTTGTTAAGTTTAATAAGATTTGCTTAGAGCCTGAGACTCTCCATTTGATATTTAAGTTACAGTTATTGTTTTTAAATTTTGTTCATTTTTCTCTAGAATATATATATTTTAATTGCAATAAAGATTTAGCTTTAAGATCTTGTACATTTTAATTTCCATCGGAAGTTGAGTAAAGAGTAGGCAACAGTTACTGTGAAATGCAAAGATTCAAAATCTGTACGGAGTTTGTTTTTTGCCACTGACTTTCGAGGGTTCGGCCTCAAACGTTTGATTCTTTTGTGACAAGAGCGACGCCTCCCGCTGATGGTCAAGTATGCCGCCGCGCGGGAATCGACTACTCGAAAGGAATACTGTATGATGTAAAGAGCCTGTGGGACAGTTTTATACAAACACAATTGTGGCGAATCATTCGGGCGAACCTGCCTCTGAATAGACTTGTGTGTGATATGCGGAAATAACTTCTCTGTTTGCCGCAAAATCACACACATTTAGTCAACTAATCAACTGTGAAGCGGAACAACAACGTGGAAAACATAAACAATAAATTTAATGTTTATCTTTATCTTTATTAGTACCAAGATCAGCATTGATTAAATAAAAAAAAAATGAAAAAAAAATGTTACAAAACCAAATTTAAGATAACTTAAATTAATAACATGAAAAAAGACAAAACAAAATGTTTTTTAAATAAATTTACAAATTCAAAGAAGTTTAAAATTTTTGATAGTTTTCAATTTTGAAATGAAAAGGGGGTGAATTAAGCTGAGTTATTTTAATGAGAAAACATCAAATTGACTGCTGACGTGCTTTATTGAAAAATTATACAAATAAGCCGATTATCACGTTGTACATCAAGCAAACAAAATGCCATAAGAATTTGAGACTTGTGGATTATGTGGGGGGCCACGATTAATTAATTCAGCCAGTAAACAGTATTTACGCGTCACTCACTCCACAATTGCATTCCGGCTTGATGAATATTGATGAGAGTGAACAATGCAGGGAAGAGTCAATCACCTGCTGCCTCTTATTTTAATTCACCCTGCAAGGATCAAGAGACAAAAAGTCGCCAATATTGCCGCATTCATAAGTAATCATATGCACTCTACATAATCCGTAGCTGTGTTTTGTATTCACGGCCATGCCCTGCACAGCTGCAAATTTAATAATCATCATCTTGTGCAGCGGTTAGTTATGACATAATGTAAGCGACTGAAATAATTTTGCTTAGTCCGGTGACATGTCAACTAGTGCAGATAATAGATTTATTGCCTTGATTCCTTTAATATTAAACTTTTTTCAGCACCTATGACGGAAAAGAATAATTGCGAGCCTAAGCGGGTACCATGACCTAAAGACCTACAGAGATTATAATTTAGGCACCGGTTCCGCTAGCAAAGTGACTATTATAAATTCAGTTAAAAAAATATATTGATTCGAAACTTTATAAAGATATTAAAAACAGTTTCAATAATGTCTTTATTTTATTGATACTTTCTAAATAAAAGTAAATTTTAATTTCATTCTGATTTCCGGAAATTGTATGAAATTTTAAATATTAGGTGTAGTGCTTTGCAGCTTAAATTTGAAGCATTTTATATAACAAAAAAGTGTCAATTTTTTTAAATGAAAACAAAATATACAGAAAAAATCTGAAATTTTACCAACATAGAAAGTGAAAGGAAATAGGAAATACATATCTATAGAAAAAAAAATTCCAGATTTTACCAATGGCCAACGCTAATAACACATTAATAGTAAAAAGGTATTTAATTAATATATTAACAGCATAAATTATTTTAAATTATAATTCCACATCTACTACTAGTTTAATAATCCATATAATTATAATGAAGCTGAGGAACAGACGTTTTTTTTTTAAATTATTATAATTATTTTAAGCTTGTTAGTCCGAGTATTTATTCCCAAAGAATGATTAATAAAAATTATGGTGACTGAATGCAGATTAAAGATGTGAATAAAATTATTAACACAAGGTTATACGCCGCGCTCACTGTCATATGACGAAACACTCAAAATGCTTGCGCTGAGTGAGTGAAAAACTCGTTTTCCGAAACTTTGTGTGTGGCAATGCAAATAAATTCCTGCTTGTCAAAAGCGGTAGATTTATATTTGAGCAAATTAGACGGAAATTATGCCACCCCTAGGCGTGGTTTTATTTTCAAAGGTACTTTCTAATACGATTATGGAAATTTTGCTGTGTATTTAAAAAAAAAGTGCGCAGGTGGAACAAATAAATGTTGCCAATAATCATTCCGCGAGGGTAACGTTTCGTCTGGGTTTGTCCTTTTTGTCGTTAAGCGCAGCAGGTGTCGCGATTCGAAACAATATCAGCTGCAACGAAAAGAGGGCTGAATTATAGGTCTCGATCCTTCGGCTAAAAACTATGTCCTTCCGCCTGACGTTGTCACATTAACACCTCTGCCGTGACGACACGCTTAGCACTTTTTGTATCAAATTTCTTTTTCGATCTGAGTTTTTAGAATTTTTTCTCCGAGGGATTATTTTGGGGATTATTGTTTCTTATCATTTTCATCTGCAAATATGTTAACAAACGATATATAAAATTTAGGACAGAAGAGGATAAATAATTAAAGAATAATTGTATGAAAAGGAGGAATAAGAAATTTTGAAGATAATGATAAAATTAAAAATCAATTTAAAGAATTAAAGTGATAAAAACTATAATGGATGGAAGGGTAGATTGGACACTTTATATTGTTGTAGGTAGTATATTTTTTGTCCGTGCGATTATTGGAAGACAATTTTAAATTTTAACAGAGCATTGTTGTAACAACTATAGAAAAACAGTGGCTTTATTGTTGAAATTTTATCAAAGTGACCGAGGATCAAAATTCTTATTCTGATTTTGTACGTAAAATTCCAGTTGTGATGCCAACCTTGAAGGAACATTTCTACGGCTTGTCGCGGTCGCGGCTGAGGGAAGAAGCGACGAAGAAGTGTGGCGACTTGCACGAGATCTACTCGGTGAACGGCGACTGCTTCAGGGGCCACTGGTGGAAGGACAAGAAGGACGGTCTGGGCGAGCAGAGGAAAGTGGACGGCTACAAGTACCACGGCCTGTGGAGCCAAAACAAGCGGGACGGCTACGGAATCCTCAAAAAGAAGGACTTTGTCCTGGACAGGGTGGACGTCATTTACGATGGGCAGTGGTGCATGGGCAGACCAGACGGCCTTGGCATAGGGTTTCTGCCTGACGGCACCTATTACGAAGGTAACAGTTTTGAAAAACAAAAATTTATAAATCAAAATTATAATTATTAATTTTGAAAATCGGTAGAATTCAATTAAATTCAAAATAATAAAAAAAATCGCTTTTTACAGCAACAATTTTTTTACGCAACAATTAAAGAAATGCCAAATATTTTATTTGCTTAATTTTATAATTGCCGATTGGCTGATCATATTTTCAATCTTTAATTTTTAGGCGAATACAGAAAAGGGTTGCGTTCCGGCTGGGGCACAATGATGCACAGCAACGGCAGCCAGACTTCTGGTCAGTGGCTGAAAGACAGGGTCAACGGAGTTGCGACCTGGTGGAATAGCAACGGCAACTTCTATACTGGCGAGTTCAAGGACGGAAAGTTTCACGGAAAGGGCGTTTACGTGATGCCAAGCAGGGGCAAAATGCTGCAGGGTGTGTGGATGGACAACCAATTTTTCAAAGGGATCAGCAAAGATCTGGAGGACGAATCGAAGCGCGCGGAAGAGATTTTGGAGGAATAAAAGAATTATCATCTAATGATCCTAGACAAGTTCATTAATGTGCCGTAAACTTATCTTGAATGAAGTTAATTTAATTGGAACCTTTTCTGATGCAACGAATTTTTTATCTCCAAAACTTGTCTCAAATCCATTAATGTGTCCACTCTTAATTCTGCATAAACTATATTTTGCTTTAGCTGTGGCGTCTCTGATTACCGTGTATTATAATCAGGGCTGCCTCTTTTTTGAGCTTCTAGAAAATTTGCCTCGCAAATTAGCCACCTGTGAGACACAAACAGATTATTAATGAATATTCGCGCTCTGCGTCCGCGTCAAGCTAAAACCTGTTGCAGACCAGGCAAATATTTATATGAATCTTGCGGAAAAAAACCTCGTGGTTATTAAATTCGCTTTTTAATACGGCAGATGGGTCAAGGGCTAACGCTTATGAATTATTCTTGCTTGTGAATTGAGACATTCATTTTCACTGGTATTAGCGAAAAGGTATTTTGGCGTCAAATTACTTCGTCATGGTGTAAAAATTATTGCCACTTTTAAAATTACACCAATTTTTGTTTGGTTAAAAAAAGATAAAAAATATCTCTAACCTCTTCGCATGGCAACTTGGACAGATTTTAATTCAGAAGCATCAATAATTTAGGAAAAAGTATAAAAGAGATTCCCACCCAGCAATCAGCAGCACGTTTGTTTTATTGTGGGAAAGCGCATCGGCTCTCATTAAGGTAGCGGCGTTTTCTTATCTCTGCCCCCGAACTGCGGTCGGCTAAATGAACTAACCCTGTACCAGCGTTAATAAGCGGCCGCCACCACTTGGCCCCCAACTGACACCCACCCCAATCTGTCTGCAATCAAGGAGCGGCAAAAATTGTGGCGTGAAAAGGGAAGGGTGATGATTCAGTCGATAACGCAAACTAAACAGCCAATCGCAAAACTTTGGCAAGAATAAAATTTTTATAACGATTTATATTTTTTATTAGAATTATTAAGAGAAAATTAACGCCTCCTTAAAATCGTCAAGAGGACCAATTTAGAGTAAAGGGTAGATAAGAAGGTCTCAGTTAGAGCTCCTCATTCCGATTGTGCGACCATCAACCATGCAGCATTACGCTTGTCTTGAAGATAACACTTCAAGGAGAATTAATGCACTGCTTTCATGCGATTCCACCCCGCTGTTATCTGCAGAGAAAGAGCCAAAAAGTTCGTCGGAGCGAAAAGTTAAGAAGGGATTGAGAGCTAATGTCCTTTGCGCGCCTCCGCCGTGCAATCTGAGACCAAAATTAACTGTCTTCATTAATTTACTGAACAAATCGCATTATTAGGGTGAAATAAATTTTGTGATTTAAAATAAATTACTTCTCATTAAGAAAAAAAATTGTGTGGCAATTTGGTTCATTAAATTAATTTTATAAATAATTATTTTCCTTTGGAATGAAAAATGTAAATGGACTTCAGGAGAAAAAAACCCTCTCTGAATTGACGTTCGCGTCCGGTACTTGACGATTGCGATCACTTCTCAGACCCCATGCACAACTCTCTGGCAATATTTGTCACTGCGGGGCTCCACCATATTTACTGATTTTTGTGACAATCAGATTGATTGCTGCATTCATTGGCGTGAGAAATATGTCCGTTTGATAAAATCTCCATGCAAAGGGTCGAAAATTTCACACCTCTATCGAAAGTGTGATCGCGTGGCGCGCTCGCTGCCTAGCTCTTTTTAGGTAGATTTATTGTTCAGCCGGAACATAATTTTTATAAACCTACTTTCATTGATTTTTTTAAATCCAGGTTGACAAAATTAAATATTTTTTAGAAATAATTTTGTTAAAAATCTGAGCACTTCAATCTGCGATATTTACAAATTCTATAATATATAGTTCTGATTGTATTTGTCATTTCCTTTTCATTCCTCTATTGCTTAATTGGTCAGTATGATTTGTTCTTTCATTAAATGCATTTTATAAAAGTATTCCATAGAAGAAGTGATCGTCAATGATATTCTGTTTAAATAGTAATATTAATCAATTGAAAAGGACAACAAATTTAAACACTGTGTTTAATAAAAAAAACCTTATAATAAATAAGATGAATGCAATATATAACTTTCTGAAAAATAAAAGTAAAAATACATTTTTAATTTTAAATTAAATAATATTAAAAAATAAAATGAACAAAATAAAGTTTAAAATTTAGGACAAAAATTTTTACATTTTAAGAATTTACAATTTTTATTAAAAAGTATTATAAATTTACTTTATTTATGAAATTTAAGCTTTGCGATCAGTCTAATCTTTTGTTACTTTTTGTGAATTGACTTGATGTAATATGTTGTGTATTTCATATTTCATTGTATCTGAACAAAAAATAAAAATAAACTCAATTATTTTCAGAGCAACACATATTTAACCGTTTTGCGCATTGTTGAGAAAAAGAGCGCGTCGCGGCAATTATCAGTCACGCATTATCTGTCCATTAATCACCGAGCACGCAGGTGTAAACGGGAAAGACACGCGCGCGCGCGAGGAGCATCTCGGGAGGTGCATTCGTGGACTGGAAACAGCTCAATACAACAAAGGTGTGCTATCGAATAAATAAAATAAAAACTATATAGAGAGATACGACGACGAGTCTAAAAAGTTGGGTCGCTCGCTCGCATACCCGCATAAGTAAAGCACGAGTCTGAATTATAATAATGCCGCGAGACGAGAGCAGCTGCTTTGCCCCCGTGAGCTGGAAATTGTCCCCATATCACTTTTCCCGGCGCTGCTGTCTACGCAGATCATTTTCTGCCTGCTCTGAACAGTCTTAAGGGAGCCTGACACGCGTTGCTCATTTGTATACGCGCCACTTCTTTTTATTTTTCTTCTTTATTCTCTCTCGTTTCATTTGGGCCGACTGCCCGCAGAAAATCGAAGGCGAGCGCGCGTGTCGACGGCTGGACCACACACTTTTTTTCCTTTTTATACCTGAAGATTTGTTTCGAGACAGACAATAAGGGTGCCTCAGGGCTTTATTTGGCTCGCTACCAGCAGGTTAAAGGTGTTCGCCAGACTTTGTCACTCGCGCGCGCCTTAATTATTCAATTTTATTAAATTATTGGCCGCGCGCGGCTCAACGAACACTGGGAATTTTAATTGGAAGCAAAAAGACGCGGCGCGGCTCCTCTGAAATTTATCAAATAGCATTCAGACTTTTGAAACCTTTCTGATTTTATTACTTTTTAATTAGGGGCGCACACTAACCACCATAATTATTATTTAAAATTCTGCGCCCGACCTTGCATCGCAAAGGGGTTGTAATAAATTGGATCTTTAAAAAAAAAGAAGAATTTTCCATATAAAAAAAGCGTCAAAGAAATGACGAAAAATTTAATTTAACAGCAGAAGCATGGGAAAGATATTAATTATTAAGTTTCTTTAATTAATTTACCTGCAGAATAATATAGTTATTTTAGGAGAAAGCGATTCAAGATTAAAATATTTATGGAAATTTTGAGCGATGAGAATTTAAATTTATAGTAATATAAATATTAATGTCCCATTTCATTGACTAAATAGGATATCTGCATAAAAATCGCAAATTCCTCATTTTCCAAATTGATTTTCGTCATGTTGTTTGTACCTTTTTCTTTTCAAATTTTAATATTTTTCAGAAGAAACAACCATCCTCAAAAATTCCAAGGCCAAAAAGCTTTCGACGCGCACCAAAATATTTAAATTATGTAAGTTGACAGGATTGCATTATCATTTATTGTGCCAAGTTGCTTGTTTTAAACATAAAACTTGTAATCAACGAAGCGCCAGGCAATAAAGAACCAAAATTGTTTTTAATGAACAATATAAGGACTTAGTATTTGTATAAATATATAAAATGCTAACTTTAACAAGCTTCCCAGTAAATGTTTTGCATAAAAGCCAAGTTTCCATGTCGGTATATTTTAGATCTCAAAAGAGAAATAAAATGTCTCTTTTTTTAGTGGTCATTTGAAAGTTTTACGAGAATCGTTTAAATAATTGAAGAATGAATGAGATTAATTAACCCGCTGAAAAGGAAAGCCCGAATGGTAAATTTTCGCTTCTAAAGTAAATAATTTTGTATAAATCTAACGCTCCTTCCAACTTATCGAGCGGTGCTATTTGCTAAAAAGCTCTCAAGGCGTTACTTCTGATAGTAAAAAAATCGCACTCGACAGTGTGTTGAACAAGAAGGAAGCGAAAGTGCTCCAACATTATATTTATAGCCTGCCTGAAAAATGAGCTTTATTTACATAATCAAGAGACTGCAAATTATTCAAAAGTGTGGTAAAAAAATCTTGGTCTCGGAAATTTTTGCTTTTGCCAGTTCACGCCACTCGAAACCAGATCCAACTTCTCTTGCATCAAATCCCCCTCTAAAGTTGTGAGCAATTTTGTAATATAATTAATCTAAGTCCCACCGCGTGACCACTATATAGATATTAAATGAATAGCTCGGGCCGTTCTTCCAGTTTGATCGAATGCGGATTTCGCAAATTAAGTATGCAGAATAAGCGCCTATGAGGCCGTTAATGACCACACAAGACGCACACCTGTGGCCAGCGCGGTACGAGGAAATCTTTTGTTGATAGGGTTGAAGACTTCAACCCTTTTGGTGAATTTTTTGTGAGTCTAGACGCGCTCGTTTCTCCAGTTACCCATGCAAGATTCCGTCTTTTGTCCTCTACACGCTTCCACTTGCTTGGCAGAACAAGAACATTCTTAGGCGCATCATTATCACGTTGTGCGAGCGACGCGTCGCCGACCCCTGCAGCGCGAAACTTGAGCCACAAGTAGTGCTCATCTTGATCTCGCATCTTCTGCTCGCGATTATCTCTCCTCAAACAATGGCCTTTGATGGCGCTTCCAACGCGTTCTTTATTAATTACTCTCCCCTTCCGTGAATTTTAAACCCACAACGTTTAAAAATTTGATCTCCGCAGTCTGTTAAACGTAAAATTATATATCGTGGTTCACAGGTTTTTGTTGAAAAATCAAAATTTTAAAAAAAGGTTTATCAGATATTCCGTGATAATTTATTCAGTATTTTATTTAAAGTTAAATTTAGTATAAAATTTTGATAAAATATGGAGGAACTTCTTATCGTTAGGAGGAATTGTTGAAATAAAAGGAAGTCACACATTTATTAAGAAATTAATCAAAACAAAAAGATTAATTTTTCCAAATTGTGATCTTTTTATTAGTTATTCAAATTTCAGATTGCTATAAACGCTTTTTTGTAATAGATGCGCGTATAATACATAAATTTATAGTTTTTATTTATCTCGCCGAGAG